ATCCTCTATCCACGGCAAGCATCCTGGAGGATGAACAGGGTGTGAACGTGCAGCTCTAAGAAAAGAATTGCTCAAGGGTCACCCAGTGCGGGGTGGCCAAGAGGTCTGGCTGACCAAACTCCGCCGTCCTACCGTCCCCCGGGGTGCCGTGGCACCAGCAAGGGCCCGAGGGCAAGCACACGGGGGTTCAGAGGGCGCACGCAAGCTCGCCCGGTCCTACCCGGCGCAGAGCTGTGCCGTGAGGATATTACCACCGCCACATCGTCATCTTTCTTCTCTGTAAACGTAAGGAGGCCGGGAGGGTTACAGCAGGACCGGAGAGAGCTAAAGCTGCGACACGAAGCATGTTGAAGTCCAAAAATCCCAAGAGGTGGAAAGTTGTCCAAGCAATGTCAACTCCCCCATATACCTCTGTAATTTCTACTCCTTCCCTTTTCAAAAACATTAAAAATCAGCTCACTGAATGTCCCCAGGGCACAGCCCAGGACCTGTGCATGGAATGTCCAAACACGTGCTGCATCCCGGCCCCCCTGCCTTGCTGGCAGCAGGCTTGGCTGGGGAGGTTATTTATCTCCTTTTCTTTAAGTTAGGGGGTTTTCCCCCCTCCTTGCTCAGTGCTGGCACGGCGCTGACCTTGGCTAACGAACATTTCTGTCCTATGGTGAAATCTTCGGGGGGGGGGGGGGGGTCGGGCAATTTTTTCTGGCAAAGCCTCTGCTCCACCCACCCACCAACGCTGTAGGGCAGCTACGAATGACACCCTCTGACACGCTGCAACGGCACGCCGACTTTTATCTCCTCTTAATTCTTCTGCTTCATGCCCCAGCTCCAAAGCTGCCGCCTTCTCCCCTGTGGCCCCACGACGCGACGCAACGCGCCTGGCTCCCCTCCATGTTTCTGAGCCTGCGATGCTTCTGGAAAGCCTTCCCGCTCGTGGGTGTTAAGGTAGCTCAATCCCAAATTCAAAGCCATCTCTTAGCCCACGGTCTGCTGACAACTTCCAGCTCAGTGAAGCTGGCGATGCATTTTCCAGCTGTTTAAAATAAATATACATAAAGCAAATGGCAAATTTGTGAGCTCCCACTCAGCCATCGAGGAGGAGGGTAGCTCACGACATCGCCTCCGTCCATGCAATCCTCAAACCACAGGGGAAGCCTGGCTCACGCCGCCTAAAACCCATTTTACCAAAGGCTGTGCAGGCTGCTGGGGACGTGCAAATGCGAGTCCTTCCTACCTCGGTGGAAAAGGCTGCTGTGCTGGCCCTGAAGCTGCTGCCATGCAGGCATCGCCTCCCCGCTCCTGCTTGGCTGCTGCCCTTCCCCTCCCACCCCTTCTCCGCGCCCGTCCGGTGGTTGCGGAGGATCCCAGGGAGCTTCTGCCGGCCCAGAAACGCAACCGCCTTTGGGGTGAAGGCTGCAAACCAGGTCGGCATCTCTGAGGGACGTGCGTCAACAGCACTGAAGGAAAGGAGAGCTGCACCACCAGCAGCGGCTCCAGGCCAGGGGCACAGCGAAGCTCGTGCAAGCTGTTGGCTTTTAAAGAAACAATGTCCCTTGTGTCACTTCCAAAATCCTAACGGATTGGTTAGACTCAGCGGGACGCGCAGGGTCCTTAACGGGCAGACGTGCGGAAGTGCTGAGGTCAGGGCTTGCCCAGGGGCTGCTTCCCAGGTCCCACGCACTGCATCTGCTCCCCCGAATGAAACTGCAACGTGCACGCGCGTGCAAGGACCCCCAGAGCCGGTGCACAACGTGCACACGCGTGCAAGGACCCTGTAAGCCTGCAGGCAACGTGCAAAGCTGGAGGCATCGCTGTACTGAGCGGGGTGCTGCGACAGGTGGAGAGCTGCTCCCATGCAGCTCCTCTCGGTGAGAGCTCCCTGCTTTGCGTGGCTCCAGAAACTCGCTCAGAGCTGCGTTTCCCGCAGAGCTGTGAGTTGCCCTGCCCTGGGGAGGTGAGCATGGCACCGAGCACGGCACCGAGCACCCGAGCCAGAGCTCCCACCGCCTCCTGCTCCGTGCTGGGGCCGAGCGGGCGCAGCCCCCACACCAACACGGAGAGTCTTTGGCACACCCAGAGCTCAGCTGCTTCCCACCTTTAAATCCACGGGCAAAAACACATTCATTTTCCTTTCTTTCTAAATGCTGGTGACTGTTCCTCATGGCCCGGGCTGACACAGGGGACACGTACTTTTAAAATAACCCCCAACCAAACCAAACGGCAGCAGCACCTTCACCCAGGAGCTGCGTCTCGCAAAGGCGAGGGTGGGAAGCGGACACGGCAGCTCAATCGGAACAAGCACCAAAAGCACCACTTACCTGGGCCACGTCACCCTGCAGGACACAGCCAGAAAAACCCCAAACCCCAAAACTACTTAATCCTGCGGCACTGGCCAACCACAGAGATTTTTTCCAAAGGTGCCAAACAAGCCGCAGAGCCACCATCAGCATCTCTCTTTTCTCCAAGCATGGGCATCACCTTGGCTCCTCCAGCACAAATCCTGCCCAGCCCCTCCAGGCCGGGAGCTGGGATAACTCCTCCGAGACCCACGCGGTACAGACCACCCCTTGGTGGCATCTCCCACACACCCCTCAACTCCACCACCCCCAGACCTGCTTTGGCAGGTGGAAATCTCCTGCCTCCTCTTTGCCATTAATTAACGCCATCAGGCTGATTGGCTTCGTGTCTCCCAGGCATGTCCTGCTCCACCCGTGAGCCCCACAGCCCCAGCACAGGCGGAACAGAGAGGGATGCTCCTCTAGAGAGGAAGGCTTTCCACGGCATCTAAGTGAGATCCCCCCACCCCAACAAAATACTCCTTCCAGGTGGTCTTCCCACCCAGCGAGCCGACCCCCTTCCCTGCCTCGGTGTTTCACAGCACCATGGAGGTTGGCACGAGTACCACGAGATGCCGGTGGGGAGACGACGGCATTACAGCCTTGTCTGCCCCCAGCCCTGTGCCACTTCCACATCTTTTTCCAGCACATAAGCCCCCAAATTTAGGCTAAGATCTGTATTTCTTGGGAGAGCATCCCTCATATTTATAGCCATAGAGGAAGAGTATGGGAGAGGACGCTGCTGCAGCCCCAAGATAAGCCTGAGTTCTTCCTGCCTCCCCCACGACTTCAAACTCAGCTCTGGCTTTTGCCCCGATACCCAGCAGTTAGAGACTGCTGCCTGCTTTCAGCCTCAAACCGTCTTCTGACTGCCAATTACAGCGAGAAAACGGAGCCCTGAGCTCATGTTCTAGCAAGGAAGGAAAAAAAAAAAAAGTCTATAAGTTCCTCTTTATGCCACCAATTTGACCGTGAGGATGCTCGGTCCACCTTGGCAAGGGCAGGAATGGGTTACACAGAGGTAGGAGAAAGCACAAGTAAAAACAAGCCGTCCCTTTTAGCTGGATGCTCGGATGCATGCTCCCACACCTCCAGCAGCACCCCACGTCCCTGCACCCCACGTCCCTGCACGCCCCGAGGCTCTCAGGCTCCTTCTCCCCGGCCTGGCAGACACCCACCTCGTTGATGCGGATCTGCTGGAGCTCCTGCTCGGCTGCAGTCAGCGGGGCCGGGGCAGAGCAGGAGGACACGTGCTTTTGGTAACCGCTCAGGGACACGTCCTCCTGCAGACAGAGGGACAGGGACGGGGGAAGCGTCAGGGAGTGGTTATCACAGACCCCAGCCTTGAGGCTGCGTCGGAACAACCCGGTGGGTCGCGGGCTCTGTCCTTACCAGGACGATCAACCCGAGCAGCACTCCTGGATGCCTCCGTGCAAATCCCACGCTCAATTTTAAATAGCGCCCGTGATCGCCCGTGCCCGTCCACGCCATGCGGAGACCGCGGCCCGAGAGCAGCGGAGAGGGGCAGCTGCTGGGGGTGCTCCCTGGCTCCCACCGGCCCCAGAGGAGGGTCTGATGCCCGGGAGGCCCTGGCTGTGCAGCTGCTTCTGCAAAAAGCCCGTGGAAGAGAAGGAGAAACCTCCCGCACAGCGCTGCCCGGGAAGCGCAGCCGGA